CAAGTGCGGGAATAGGGGCGCCAGGAGGGCAGAGAACTCTATATCGTGCCGCTCCACTCTATTTACGATGCTCATGGCGAGTGTGCCGACGATGGTCTCTCACTTCAAGTTCCAAACGATACTAGACAGAACACACCGATCTCTCCCCCCTGCATTTATCATTTCGCGGTTCTATGCCGGACTTACGGATTTCCGAGATCTATCAGATATCATCTTAGGCGCTAACAAATGCTGTATCCCTGTCCACGCACGCTTTGCACCGGTCTCGTCGTCCAATATCTGTGTCCGTTCCACGTACCTGGACCCACGAACTCTCCTGCGACGTGACCTATCATCGATCGATTGACTTGATTCAAGGGAAAGCCAGACACCGGCCGACCCCACCCTTCCATGTTGTAGTGGACGGGTGTTCGCTCCCTCTTCGAGCCAAGTGTTTATTATATATCACATCCTCACCTAAGGGCTGTACGTAAGAGCATGCGCCCTTGTCCCTTCTACATATGTAGTAGATGTGTCACCGCAAGGGTGCCGCGCCGTGCTTTGCTATCAATTCTGCCGGCCAGACCCAGCTCGCGATCTTCTGATGCGGCTGGCTGGCCGTAAGTTTGGCCGCAATTATCGTGGCAGTCGAGCTCCAGATGTCAACACGGCTGGTGGGATCTCTCTTCTCTGTCACACCCCGCTGCTGTATTCCTAATACGAAGCAACATGCAGGTCACCCTAACACTACGTAGGCCATGCGACGGCCCTGGCGTGCCGTTACCTAAAATGCTAGGGTGCGGCTCGGCTTTGCTCGGCCACTTCCCCCCTCGCTCTACTACGCTTTATGAAAAAAAAAGGGGGGGAGGGGAAGAAGTAGAAGGGAAGCGTAAGGATGCGTAAGGGTGACGGTTAGGAGATAAGAGATGAGGCTGTCGTCGACTACCCTGCCGTAATACAAGCCTCGTGAGCCTGCACATCTGTCCTAGGTGGTGATTTTGTTAATGTGTACCAACGATGAAACTCAAGGGGAGGATTTCCGGGGAGGACAGGCCCCGAGTGAGCGCGGTGCCCATGTCAAGTTAATCTAGATCGCAATCCATGTTGCGACCCAGGCTCGGCAACTATACAGGACACGCACCAATCACCACCGCCTGCGGAGGAGAAGACAGCCTAGGGTTCCCGGCCAACGCACATCTGCAGATTTTGCCGGTCTTCTGGCGGTAGTAGCATCTTATTGCCCTAACGTACGCGGCACGAGGCACCCTGTAGACCACTCACGTATTCTGCTAAACGACCCATCGGAGGTCAACGTGCCGTCCGATGCGGCAGAAAAGGCATTTGATCTGCGGCACCAAAGCCCCGAGACACCCTCTCTGAGATGTACTGGATACTATGGACGCTGGCGGGAGGCCGAGGCTTGAGCTTCCATTGCATGGATGCTACCTGCTGAGTCGCAGTGATCACTAAATACGCCACCTCACGGTTTTACGATCTGGCTAGGTACGTGTGATCCAGCCTTTTCACGGGATCGAGTGTTCCCCCCCTCTTCTCTCGGTCGGCATCGCAGAAGCCAATCTATAGTACGCAGTCCCAGCCTTCAACACGTCTGTCTCCGCAGCAGACCAGGTCGTGCATTAGATTCGTGATGACATACATAGTCACCTACCGCGAATGGCAGTTAATGCGTGCCTAAAAGGCTCTCGTCGACGAAAGCCTCAGTGTGCTTCAATATCACCTGCAGCCCCCTGCTCCCCCCCCCCCCCTCTCTCCCCCCTTCTTAAAAAAAATCGGCGGTATCCTTCTGCGGCACACCGCGAGGGGGGCGGGGCGTGGATGGGTTGCTTCTTTGCCGTTTATCATGGCAGCGCTGTCGCCCCTAACTCCACGCAAGGCGGTGGCAAGCGGCGCACATAGCATACGTGATACTCTTTTCAGCTTTGCAACAGACGGAGGCGGGGAAGAAATAAGCCTCAGTGTACACAGTACCGCTCTCAAGACCGCCTAGGGGGTTTGTGACCTCGAGAGGGCTGATGTGGAGTAACGCGATCTTGCAGTGCAGGATCTTGACAGATATGGACGTCAGGAGAATGGTCCCAAGATCGCTCACCTGTCACTTTTTCCTTAGGCCCACTCTCTCAGCCTTTTAGGTGTCTTTTCCTAGTTTTGGTCTCGTCTTCTTGTCCTGGCAGGGCTAGGGGAGGAACGAAAATATCCTCCATGATGAGGGGCGGCAAGGTATGCAAATGTGGTATCACGCGACTCGTGACCGGGCAACGGCCGAGTAGCTGGTTAGAGGGGACGCCGTATTCTCGACGTCCGGTAGAATCGGTTCGTTGGGACTGAACTCCTGGCCCTGTCGACCCAAAACTAGCAGTTTTGAAGGCATTCCCCATCAGAAACAGACAAAAAAACGACCGACCCCTACCTAGCAAAGGTCGCTCGAGAGCCTCCCTCGGTCAAAGTAAGTCGTACCCGCGCTGACGGCGTAATGCGAGATTTTGTGGTAAGCAACGTTGAAAATTCCGTTTTCACCGCACCGGGCTAGTGCTGATAATAACACCGCGCCGTTATAGACGGCCCTCACCCCCCCTTGTGCCGCAGCTGTATCGTAGCTCGCATAACGCCGCACCTTGACCGACGTCATGAGAAAAGCCTTCTGGACTTGCCTCTCCCAATTCTAGCCATCCATTCTAAGTCGGTAGGGTCCAGCTATGTCTGACACATTTCCAGACACTGGCCCAAGTCAGTGGTGGTCTCGAAAGACTTACCGACCGCGCGTCCCCTGTCTCGGTACTAGGTAGTCGCCTCTGCCCCCTAACTATGAGGACCATTGCTCTACATTTCTGGGCAGCCTATTTCGAAAGATCCGAGACTCGGCACAAGCTAACCTCGAACTCTCCTCCGATGCCCCGGTACATTCGAGCCGAGTAAAGGGGTAGCAATGGTCAACCAGTGTTTCGGATCCGACTAGCACAGCCTCGGATGAATTTCGACGCTCGGATGGTAGCCTCTCTCGCCATATCACAGTAGGGAAATACTGGTCTGTTACTGTGGGTGGCCACGGAGTTATAGCATAGCACTAAGCTTCTCGACGGCAGGAAGGCAAGATGACCAACCCTCAGGCACATAGATACTAAGAGGGGCCGAAAATTGGAACATACACATCCCGGATAAAGTGTTCACATGATACTGTCCAAGTGCGGTACAAACACACAATAGTAGGTAGGGTCTAAAGAGAATAAAGCCGGTAGGATGTTACTATCTCTGTCGATTATGCCGCAGAAAAAGGAGGCAGAGCCCAGCGATCTTTGGTTATCCGCAACGGCCAAACAGCAGGCTGTGAGACGGTATGTAGTTGAGATACGCTGTTCCAAGAAGAACCACTATCTATTAGCCGACTTGCCTTACGCATGGCTAACGAAGGGGGGAGGGAAAGAAATCGGCCCTGGAATACTATCCCAGCGAACAAAATTTGCCTACATTTTGCCGTTGGAGCCCCTATGGTTGTCGCTGCGGGACGCCTCTGAGAAGCTGACGAAGTAAGGACTCTAAGGAAGAAAGTGATGGCCAAATTAAGACGATGTAGAAACCCATCCCCCCCGGTACACGAAGAATTGCCATTCTGTGTTCGACACGGCATCTCAGGACCTCAACGCTCGGCAGGATATCTGGGCCGTCTGAGCTGAATTGAAAGTTGCCCCAATGGCTTGGAACCTGCTTGCGTCGCCGTATCTCCTAATGGACATGAGTTCGCCAAATGCTGGCCCTCGCTTTTCTCTAGGTCCCTCCAGGCAATAAAAGACGCCACGCCCCCAAATAACTGCTCCCGCCACCGTCTTGGATAATTACCCGGGACCCCGAGGTCCATGGCGAGCTGAGAGGATATGAACCCCTGCTCGGCGACAAAGAAAAAAAAAGAAAGGAGTGGAAGAATGAGAGATAGGGAAACTGACACCTGCCGCTCTCCTTGCTTAGATTTAACGGATAGGAAAAGGGAGGGGGGAGTTGGTGAGAGGCCATATTCTATACGCTCCGGACGCCAGTTTCAACATAAATCTTTTTCTGCAACCTATATCGGATCCGGGGCTTATCACACGTCATCCGCGTGTCTATCTATCTGGTCACACGCAGGTATACTTCTAATGCCTCGCTCCTCGCCGGGGAGCTTATATTCTGACGGGGTCTATTCACCGAGCTGCAGAGAAGCGACGTCCTACGCCGTCGATGGTCTATCGTCCACAGCATATAATAGGGACGGGAGTCAACAGACCCGAGGCACGAGCCTGAAGAGATTCAGGTTCATGGCGACTAAGTTCGAACAACACGTAATGCGATTCCTGGGATTGTGATGCGGGTGAATGCGGATAACAACTTGTCACGGAACCCTCGAAGCAATCTACTTGGGGAGATCATGCCTGGAAAACAAAGTATAGGACCATAATAGTCGACGTATCGAACGAGCCGCGCCACCGACAATACGATAGCACTTTGAAAGTAGTCGAATAGGTGTATCCATTGCCGATATTTGGTTTTATTGGTCTATGCAACTTCTACTGTCGCTAGTCAGCTTAGACCACGGACTACGAGAAACAGTGGTAGACTTGCCCCTTGATTGTATAACCATGACCGTTAAAATGACCCCTCCGTGCTCCCATTATACACCTAGAGCCAGTGAGGGTCTGACTACTAATAGCGCACATGCGACCATATATCCAGAACCTGCGAGGTGTCAGGCATGTCTTACTATCCTTGTATGGCTCGCAAAGTCGTAGCTGTCTCCGAAGCATAGGCTTGAGAATGGCAACTACGGCACATGGAATACCGCCCGAACCGTCACTCTGCGCTTCCAATGCCGATTTCGAGGGCAACCGCCAAATGTATTAAGCGACATCGTGATGAGCTTGACTCCCTCAGGATCCGGGATGATAAAGCTACGCGGCACACTAGGTCTAGGAGCGCCAGGTCAAACGTTATCACCAGGCTCCAAGTACCTCTAGGGTAAACACTACCTCGGTGCTTCAGCGACCGTAGCTAGGCGGGAATCCCGGTGGCGGCGGCGGCGGCACGCTACCCGGAGGGCCAAACCCGGGAGGTGGTATACGAAAGCCGCCAGGATGGAAGTCCGCCGGGCTACCGTAACCAGCTTGAGAAGGTGGCGGGCGAGCAGGTAATCCTGACGGTGCCGGAGGTAGTGCATTAGACCTTCCAGTACCAGGGGGCGGCGGCACGCCGTTAACGCCGAAAAGGGGGGGAGGGCCGCGATGAACAGGTTGAGGCGGAGCAAAGCCGACTGGCGGCCTCGAAGAAGGGATGCCGGCGGCCATGGCAGGGTCGAAGCTGCCGGTTGCCATAGCTGGTGGCGGGACGGCAGCAGCAGCAGGGGGAGCCGGGACAGAGTTTTGAAGGAGTGCGGGTGGCATGGGTTGGCTCTCGATCTGAACGTTGTGCTTTTTTGCCTGGGCAGCAAGCATCCGTTCGGCCTCATCTCCGTGGCGTTCACCCTTCCCATCTTTCTTGTAGGCGTACTGTACGCTAACGTCCTTATTCATAAGGAACTGGCCGTTCATGTTATTGATAGCGTCGTCACTGGCCTCGAAGCTACTGTAGCTAACAAACCCATATCCTTTGCTCAGTCCGTTGTCGTCGCGAGCGACCTTGGGCGGGGCGATGAGGGTGCCAAATCTGCGGAAGGTGTCGTAGAGAACCTTCTCATCGACCATGGGGTCAAGGTTGCCGATAAAGAGCTCCGCACCGATCTCGAGGGGCTTCTGTTTATCTGCCGACGCCTTGTTAACTCGAAGGGCCTTGCCGTAGAGTCGGATGCCGTTCATGATTTTGGCGGCATAGTCGGCGTCGACCTCGCCGTTGAACTCGACGAAGCCGAAGCCCTGGTGGGACTGGGTAACGCGGTCTTTAGGCAGATGAACATTCACTACAGGACCGGCTTGGACCATCAGTTCCCAGACCAGAGCATCGGTGGCGCGTTCGTCGATGTTACCCACATACACCGTGGCTTCCTTATCCTGCTCCCTGCATGTGAAACAGTAGGTTAGATGGTCTTGATGTTGTTCTGCATAAAAGGAGAGATGGAATGCGAGGAATGGCTAACCAATGCTTTGCGCCCGACATCCTTGCACGAGGAGGGTAGCGTGGCGCGAGTGAAATCTGCCTTTTCTGCACTTGGGAGTTATGGACGTTGAGGTCGAGGACGTATCGCCGGTCGCTGCTCCAGAGATGTTTAGAGAACGCGTGAAGTCGTGAAACCGTTAGAGGATGTCGCTATAAGGTTCAAATGCATGCTTTATAGAATGTTTATATAAAAAATTAAGATAAATTATAATTAATATGTAACTAAAATTAAAAGGATAGTATATAATAAGATATAAAGGCTACTTATTAAAGTTCTTTTTAAATTATTATATAAAATAAATTTAAATTTAAATCTAATATATAAATATATATTCTACGCTACCTGTGCCACCTGCGTAAACGGTCATTTTTACGTAAGGGTCCGTGCGCTACCATACGACACCGCCTGCCTACGTTCCATTGCAATATTCGTACCTACGTAACGCTTTACGTTAGAAATAAAAAAAAATTTTTAAAAAATTTTAAAAAATTTAAAAATTTAAAAAATTTAAAAAATTTCAAAAAATTTAAAGAAATTAAAAAATAAAAGAAATAAAAAAATTAAAATATTATCTTATATAGTAATTAAATTAATCCTTATATACTTATATATTATAAAGTATATCGTAGGTATTGATATTTTACGTAATATTTAATTATAATTATAAAAAGTAAAATTAAAAAAAGAGTTTTTAAAAGTTATTACGTAATAATTCATCTAGTTTTTATATACTTAAGTTTTATATAATATAGTAAAATATGTTAAAGTATTTTATGCTTTTTTACGTTTTTGTACTTAAAACTTAGAACCTCTTCGAAAGCTAAAGGAAAAAGAATAAATAAATTCGATCCTTAATTAAATTAGAAAATAATATTAATTAATAATTAATTTTTAATTAAATAGCGAGAAATTAACTTTAATTAATTTATATTTAAATGAGTTTAAAGTAAGTAAGAAAGAAATATGTTAGTAAGTAAATTGTGATACATATATTATATAATGTATTTTACGATTTTATTAAATATATTCCCTTTCAGTAAAATGTATAAACTTTTAACTAACTAAAACGTACATATAACTTTTTTAACTAATGAAAATAAAGTTTCCCCTTAGCTTATAAATGTATTTATAGAGATAAATAATAATACTTTAATTAATATAATAAAGATTAAACGCATTATAATTATTCTTTAAACAGGATAAATATTTACATCGTATATAATAATTATAAATTACATTCATATTTTAAAAATCTTTAAAATTAATAATTTAAGTCCGTTGATTAAAGCTTTGTAGATATCTTAACCTTAATGTAATTTAAATCTCTAAAATTAAATTAAAACTAATAATGAAACGCTATGTTGGAGAAAAGGTTATATTAATAAAAATTAATTTTACTAAAAAGTAATTATTACTTATTATAATATTTAATAATAAAAACATATTATATAAGAATTAAACTAACCTTATATATCTATTTATTATATAACTATTACGTAGGCATGCACCCCTAGTAAGAACTACCTAGCTTACCTAAGCTAGTTAAGTACTACTATATATACCTATAGATTACTCCATACTTTCTAGTAGCTTTCCTTCTTTTCTAGTTAGTTAATATATACCTTCTTACCCGTATTTCATTACTTCCTTTACGCGTAACTTATTAACCTATACGTAGCTCTCGCTAGCTGCGTAATAGTTATAAGCCCGGGGTACTTCTAAGGAGCTATTATTACTTATGTTATTCCAGCGTAAGTAAGTAATATATATTTATTTATTTCTTAGATCTTACGATTATACTCTCTTCTTATTTCTATACCGGTACTTTACTCTCGTATTTAATATTAAATAATTACTTACTTATTCGTTATAACGATTAATACGTCCGAATTCTCCTTAGATAAGATTCCTATTAACGTTTACTTACGAGCTTACGATAAGTAGTTACGTTAGTTCTTTACGTTTAAATCGATAGCTACTTAATTCGGTATTTAGAAGGACGTTAATCTAAATGGAGCTAAGTTTAACGTTACTCGAGTCGTAGTAGGTACTCTTAAGGAATATATTACTTAAGAGAACGAACTCCTTAAAGAAAACTATAAGAAAGCGGTTTACGAATAGGCGTTAATCCTAACTAAAAACCGAGGAGATTAATTACTAAGGCCTAAGGTACGAACTCGAAAGTAATAAACGGCTACGTATAATAAGCTTGTTTTTTAATAAATAACGATCGAAGCTTAGGTTATAGCTACTAGTAAGTAGTATAAGGTTCTTTATAATTAGATTCTCGCATTTATCTCTATAGGCTTTTTTAAGGTAGCTAATATAGAGATATAGTTCCTAGACCTTAACCCGATTATTTAAAACCTCGTAAAGATTCTCTATAAGTAAATTACTCCTACCGAAGCCGCTATTAAGACGTTCGTTAAGTAAAAATACCGTAAGGTATTCTAAAGAGTAAAGGTAGGTACTTATAATCCCGAGTAATTTTATATTACGTAATAACATACCTTCCTTCGTATTCGCGCTTATTATATTAACGAATTTAAAGGCGTTATAAGAGTAAAGGATTTCTTCGAAGTAGTTAGGGCTAAGATCGTAATCGGCTAAGTTATACGGGCATTAATCGCTTTTACGGAAGCTAATAAACTTAACGAATAACCGAAGACCCTTAAGTAATTAGGTACCGTATTTAACGCTTTAGCTACCGAGAATAAGTAGAAAGGTAAATTAGGTTATAGAATTTTCGTAATAACCTACTAAGGTCCGACTTTAGGAGTAAAATTAAATAATAATAGCGGCTAAGGAAAAGTAACGAATTACGAATACCCTTATAAGTCTAGAGGTAAACCATATATATAGGTAGTTCGCTCTTATGGAATCCTTTAGAAGTCCGTTATTAGTTAGACTATACGTAACCTAAAGCCGATTCCGGTTAATATCATACGAAAAATTAAGGCTAAATACGACTTACTTAAATACGCTAAATTCCGAAATTAAATTAACCGCTAAGGATAGGACGTTCTCGTAAATAATATACCTAATAATCGCTCCGAGAACGGGGGAAGAAATAACGCTATTACTTAGCTAATTAATATTAGCGTAATAATAATCGACCTACATATTATATACCTATTTATTTAAATTAGGATCTACTTTATAATAAACTGTTACGTAGCTGGCTAGAGCTAAGCTAGGGTTGACAGGTTGTTCGCAAAGGGAGCAATGGAATGAGGGTAAGAAGGTATGTATTAATTAACTAGAAAAGAAGGAAAGCTACTAGAGAGTATAGAGCGATCTATAGGTACATATAGTAGTACTCGATTAGCTTAGGTAAGCTAGGTAGTTCCTACTAGGGGTATATGCCTACGTAATATACCCCTTAGTTAAGTTTACGATAGTAAGGTTAACTATAGTCCTTTACTTACGATAATAACCTAAGGGGTTATTCCTTAGTCTCGTTATACCTCGTTAAGATTAATCGATTACTAGGTACCTTATCTCGGGCTTCCTTATGTCCCCTTATTCGTATATATTCCGGTTTATTACTAATGATATTTTCTCTTAAGTTATATACTCTTCGTATCCTTTACTTAGTACTTCATAGTTTATTATAAATAAAAATAATTACTCGTATAATTATTCGTATAATTACTCGCTTTCGGTTAAGCGGTAGTTAGCTATATATATAATATAATAATCGCTTTAGTATTAATACTAGGATTTAATCTCCTTTATTACTATCGCGCGCGCTTACGCGCGTTACTTATACTAACCGATTCTGCCGTTTCTCTTACGAAGGCGGTTAAGTATAAATATATCTAGGATTTCTCGCTCTCGAATTAAGCGTATCTCTTTTTCTTCCTTTCTTCTCTAGGTTATTTATTATAGATATATATACCTAATTATAATTAAGTAATTTTATTAATTACGCGATTATAAACTAATATAATTAATAAAGCTTCGTTAATTTATTATTATAAGGTAAGTTTACTTCTTTTATAATTTACGTAAAGCGTAACTCGCGTATTATACGAGTCGTAATATATTCTTATTAAGCGATTATGAAATAATAACTTAGCTTATTATTATAAGGGTTATTATTTACGATTAATATATTACTTTTAATATTAAAGTATCCTAGGATAATAAAGCGATTATTAGTTATCTTATATTAATAAATAAGAGGTTATTCGAAATAATTTATTTATTACTTATTCGTTATTTATCGGTAGTAATATAATACCGTAGTTAACGATCTTTTAATATATCCGATACTTAAGAGCTTCGTAAGATAGTATTAGCGCTTTAAGGTACCGTAGCCTCGCTAAAGTAAAGGATACTCGGCCTTTCCGCCGCGAGTTCCTAGCTTACTTTCCGTATTCGTACGGGGGATAACGTTAAAGCTTCGGCCGGTAGCCTTATTCGCCGCGGAAGAATATCCTTTACTCCCGGGTCCGGGGCCTTAGTTATCGCTTAGCCTCTTAAGGATTTCTTTATCGACGAAAGCGACGTCGATATAATCGTACCTAACGCCTTAGCGTAACGTATCTAGGCCTTAGTTATTCGCGTTCCTTAAGGTATCGTATTCCGAGTTATTAAGGTCTTTACCGACGAATCCTTTAAAAAGGAATCCTCCGAGGAAGACTTCCCTTTCTTATACGAAGAAATAATCGAGAAAAGCGACCGCTTAATTATATTAATTACTCGTAAGGTTCTTTCGCGTAAAACCCGAGCCTAAACTCGCGTATATTAAATTACGTTTTTTAATAATATCGCCGTTACTCGCGTAACTTAAGCGATCGTTATTATTATTATTTCGATTTATAATAATATCGTAGGACGAGAATAAGAACGAGGCCGTAACGCTTCCTCGGTTCCCGGAATTACTACCGCTTTCGTTACTTTCTTTAGCCCGGCCGTTCCGGCGGTCTCGTTTAATACCTTCGTCGCGCCGGCCGCTTTAGCTTTTACTACCGTCGCCTTAGGAATTATCTCG